AGTTCTTTTAAAGAAAGATTTACTTTTATTCTCAAAAGTTAAGCATGACAGGCTTCTGTTTAAGAAAGACGTGTTTTATTGTGTTAATGTTGTCATTTTGAGCTAAAAATAAATGCCTAAATGATTTATGTGTCCCATGTGTTGATATCACAAAGAATACGCATCTACTTAAATCAAATTCAAGTCAAATGGTTAAAAAAATACTTTCACACACAAAAAAAGAGCTAAAAAATTCAGTCAATAAACAAGTTCAGGGCGCTGAGAGTTTAGTTTGGAGATAAGAGCTGTTTGAGCAGTGCAGCTCCCTCAGACAATACATATGCCAGTGAAAGTAATAACCAGTTAACCTGAAAGACAGGACACTGTTGTTCACGTGAAACCGAAAGTAAACAGTATAGCTGGTGTTACTCCCTCCACTGTCTTTTATCGACGGCTCCAAATGAGATATGAATCCCCAAATATCAAGAGCAACAATGAGAAGTATTTGGATTTAACTGGTTGCTGTTTCTTGCAGGAGATTGAAGATGCTGCTGTTGCTCCTGCTCCTCACGAGCGGTAAGAAACTCTTACTATGTTATATACTATATGTACACAATGTTTATCTTGCACTCAGACCGAAGTTTTATCGCACAGGTGGATACACGCAGTGTGTGAAATTACCAATGTAATGATGTGTGGCTTTATTTGTAAGAGAGCGAGGGGTGGTGTGAGAAAGTCTGGACCGACTTTGTGTGGAAAGTTTGAGCCTGGGAGAGGCTAACTAGCCGTGCTAAGCTAGCTCGGTGAGGTCATGGCTGCAGATCTGAGATAAAAGGCTTTATTGACAGGTCCGACAATCCTTTATATCACAACAACATCATTCTCAGACAGGTGACAGGAACATGCAATGAAGTGGCCACCTATATCTGCTATTGTTACCAAAGTGTGACTGACTGGAATGTTACCAGTTAAAATCGAAAGCTTTTTCTTTTTTTTTGTTCAAAACTGTGAGGATTGTTTATTTCCTGTTTAATCTCGCAAACTACCACTGATGCGGTAACCGGAACTGATTCCCTCTGAAAAGTGGGATTTCACCGTAGCGTTTCACTAACTTCCCAGAAAATAAAACTAAGTCGTTTAAGTAAAAATCTTGTTCAAAGAAGCACCGTCAACGTGCATAGTTTAGCTGGACAGGAAGTCAGAAACAGTAACAGTGTAAAGCAAAACAACAACAAAAACCCAGTGCAGACTAAACTTCACTTAAAAGTACGTTGGAGAGTCGTGGACACACTTGCAGATTTGTGTCTGGGCTCTGTCAAATAGTCAGATAATATAATATAGAATACAAATGAATGATTACTGAATTGATTACTGGTGAAAAGAGCAGCAAAGAGAGTTTGATTAACAATTTCATGGGGTTGTTTATGGTCTGCCTCCTGAAGTCAGACAGAAACACAGTGACAGAAGATACTTGACCACATGAGTTATTTCGGTGTTACATACCAGTGATTTACAGTAAATACTACTTTGACACTGTTCCAAATGACACAGAACAAAAGTAATGCTCATAATAAAGGCTGCTATATAAGAACAGACATAAATAATGAAATCGGGATAAACTTTAAAATCCCTTTAAAAGCATTTTGATGCATTCTTAATCATCCAGGAAAGTAAATCTCCAAAAATTTGATTCTGTTCATCTGGACGTAGAGTTTTGTGGGAGAAACTCGTTACTCATCCAAGTGACTTCTTCAGTCTCAGCTGACTGGTTTCCCCAATCTTATAAACAGTACATTTGCATAATGACTGAAACCAGCCCAGTGAAGGAACAATGGACTGGGAGGTCAGTTCCTTAACCTCTCCACTAGTGCAGACCTGTGCAGTCTTTTTTTTTTGTTTCTCTTATTTTACGGTTACAGTTTGTTTTTTTAAATAGAGTTAATCTCAACATCGCCATCACACATTCAGACTGTTTGACTTTCATTTGGAACTCATCACTTCCTGTTTTTCTACGATTCTTTGTCCTGAGCTCAGAAATAACAGCCTTCATTATTTGGACCATTTTAGCGAGACCAACAGCAACATCACAACTCCTTCATTCCTTTTTTAATGTCTTTATTTGAAGTTTACTGATGTGTTTATTCTTACTGGCTGTATTTTTTTCCTTTGTATAAGAAAAATAGAATTGAATTAATAATCTTCATAACTTCTTTTCAGATGTAGTCTGAAACACTTTCAGTTTGTTGAAAATTGATGGATCCTTAATGAATGGGCCTCAGAGCCGCCCTCAGTGTCTAATGTGGACTGCACACAAAGTTTCAGGTTAAATGCACAAATGAGGTCCTGTATTCATCCTCGTCCTCTGCTTCTGTTATTATTCATCCAGTCTGGCTGCAGACCTTAGGTTTAGTAGAGCAAAGGATAAACATCCTAAAGGTCAAAGTTTGGTTCATTTTATTGATAAAGAGATAAGAGTGTGTTTTACAGGAGAATGTGACATGTCATAAAAGTTGGTGGCAGCAGCTGAAATCACAGTGTTAGTCCTGTAAAACACATACAGTAAAAAAAAAGAATTAATGTATTTCTTTTGTATTTTTATGAGTATTTATTGTATGTATGTATTGTATGGACTCTAACTGTAAACTCAGTGAAGGGAAAATATTTTAGCTCAAACACCAAAATTCATTCAAGTAAGATTCTTCCTCCACACGATTCCGATTTTATTGCTGGCTTCTTCATAAAGTTGGATCTGACTTCAGTGTAAATGACCTTTGTCTGATGTCTCTTATTTAATGAGCTTGTTTCTCCTGCTTTTCCTCACTTTCCTCACAGTCTGCCCTGATCTGATCAAGGTTGAAGTTTCTGTTGCAATGATCTGAGCAGCAGACCTCCTCCCTCACTGAAGTGTGAAACTTTGTCAGCGAAGCAGTGTGACAGTGTGAGCAGTGTGAGAGTGTCAGTAGATGATCAGCAGAGGAAAGTGAAGCTGCTGTGAGCTGATGTCCTGAAGGGGTTTGAAAGAGTCTCTGAGTTTGACAGGAACATGAAGATGTTTGTGGTGTTTGTGATCCTCCTGCACGGTAAGTACACCTTCCTCTCTCTGCTCTCATCATCAGCTTTTCTTTCATCTCTCTCTCTTTAATGTGTTGAAGTGCAGCAGGAGGAGATTTCCATCAAACACTGGATTCTGATTCAGATCAAACTAACAATCCAAAGCAGCAACTTTCAAATCTCTGGATTCTTCTTGGTGGCTTTCAGATGAGCTCATGTTACAACTGGTTTTCCAGTCAAAGCACACAGATCAGAATACACAGCACTTGGACTCTCTCACACTCTTGTTGGTAGCTGTTTCATTCAGCCTGAACTGTATATTTAAACTCTTCAGATTTGTCAAACACCTGTGATATAGTTATTTCTAATCATCCCTGTAAAAAGAACTGTTGGCCCACTCTGCTGTACAACATTGCTTCAGTTCATTGAGGATTTTGGACATTTGTTTATGCAAAGCTCTCTCGCAGTTCCACCACAGCATTTCAGTTGGGTTATGGTCTGGACTTTGACTGACCCATTGCAAAATCTTGATTCTTTTCTCCTTCAGAGATTCAGACATGTAGATTTGCTGGTGCGCTTCCTCCAAAGGACATTGTTCCAGAAGTCATGTGACCTGTACTGCCATGTTTAGAAAAGAAGCTTTGTCCTGGCTCCCTCGTAGACTTCTGGAAACAGTGTTTATTTGTAATACAATTTAAGTGGCAGTTGTTTGGTTTGTTTGTGTTTGTATTTGTGCCAGGACCACCTGTACATTTCACTAATAATGTATTGTGCATGAATTGCACATCAGCTTTAAGGGTTTCTGTGCAGCAGTTGTTACAGCTGAACTGTTTGATCATTACTTTTGACCTTTTCAGCTGTTTAATTATACATTTCTGATTCAACAGGATATTTATTTTTTAATTTTTTCTCCTTGCACAGTGGTCATCTGAGTGGAATCTCAGACTTCAGAGCTCAGAGTGAACGTTGAATGTCGCTTCACTCAGACATTTACATCAAAAACTGTTGAACAAACCAGGAGAGAGAAACCAAATCTTTTCACACTAAATTTTTATTCTCTGCTTAACGTTTTGTTGATCAGGAGAAGCAGGATTAGGATCTTGAGTTTAACCCTCAGTTGTGCGTTATGTGAAGGAGCTCCACTTGTTTCTTTGGTAACTTAAGCTGCAGACCTTCAGATTTTTCCAACATTGGCTTCGTAGATTAGTTTTCATGAACCCTGCTGTAGAAAGTCCTGTTCATTTTTGTGGTTGGTCATATGCTGCCATCATTACACCAACACTGCATGAAAAGTCTGGTCCCTTTCAAAGGTCCCTCAGAGAATGCAGCACTTTCTGTTTAAAATAAAGGTTAGAGAGTCATTTCTTTGATTTCAATCTGATTAAATTTAGATTACATGGATAGACTGAGTGTAGAAGTTGCAGATAAGGTAACCTGCATTCCAGCACGTGGATGCTGACACAAACTCAAAGCATGCTGTTAATTTGTCTTTCTGCTTATGTGTCCTTACAGTTTCCCAGCATGCCCTGGCTGTGGTGGTGGAGGTGTATGAGGAGGCAAAGTCTGTTCTGCTGCCCTGTCAGTACTCTGGTATTATTCCTGAGAAAAATCCCACAGTGATGTGGACTCGCAGTGATCTCAGTCCCACATTTGTCCACCTGCGACGAGAAGAAGGTGATGATCTCAAAAAGCAGAACCTCCGCTACAGCGGGCGCACATCAATGAGGCCTGATGCTCTGGAGACTTCAGACTTCAGCCTCACTCTGAGAAAACCAGAACTGATTGACAGCGGCGTCTACACCTGCTCCATCAGTGGTGGGAAAGAAGAAACAGGACAGAGAGATGTGCAGCTAAAGGTCAAAGGTCAGCAATTAACTGCAACTGATTATTTAAAAAAACAACTGCTTACCACATTTATGAGAAAATACAGGGATTTAATACAGTTATTATTAAAAAAAAGAATTTCACACTGTACTGAATGAATTAGCTTTTCTGGTTTACATTATTTTTCACTGATTAAAAGGTATAAAATATCAACTGCACAAAAATATACTGCTATAATGCATCATGTTACTTTCTCATATTATTTGTGGTTTGGCCACTGAATTGATTTAGATTTTGCTTTGCTTTGTTTTGGTGGGGTTGTTGTTTTTTGGTTTTTATTTCTTTTTCAAACACCTGATAATAACCTACACTCCTAGAGAGCTAAAAGCATTTACATTGCACATCATGCATCCATCCTTGGAAAGCACAGCTGGTTGGTTATTATCATGGTTATGGTCTGTCTATACTGTAGGTGAACTGCTTTCCATCAAACACCAGGATTTGGTACTGGAAGACCTCCAACTGAATACAATTCATATGCTTTTATTAATTTTGAATAATTATCAGCAGATTTAACCACAAAAACAGGGGGCAAAAATATATTTTGTGTATGAACTGCCATTTCTTCTTTTCACCTCGAGATGGTCCAGGACACCCAGGCACAGGCCACCGAGGACCCTAAGGATTGGGTTTAGACAGATTGGTACCCTCATTTTGGTCATGCTCTCTCCTCTGACAAGCAGGGCTTGCAAGCAGAGACTTGGGCAGGGCAAGACCAAAAGAAAGTTTTTGTGTTGACCAGGGCAAAAGCTGACACCAGGGACCCAGCATCAGCAGAAAAAATCTGTTACTAGCTTGGACCTAGATGCACCTGAATCTCAGGTTACACAGGTTTCTCAGGGATCTCTGATTGCTCCTGCTGGGGCTACACAGGGCTCATATCCTGTTTCTGTTCCTCACCCTGAGCACCTGCTGATGTTAGAACAGGCAGGGCCCACCTGTAGCCTTAGGCTGTCTATCAAAGAAGCTGGTGAATTGGTGCAAGGGTGCGGAAGGAGACAGAGGACAGCCTGGCTATTGGTCTGGTGAGAGGGTGGCTGGCCACAGGTTAAGCCAGCCCACCCTCTTTACCAGAGACTAAAGTGGAGATGGGGCCCAGTTGTAAAGATGTGGAGCCAGAGATGACAGGTGAGGTGTGTCTAGATGGTGGGTGGAAGCTGGGATTACAGTCTCTGGAGCTGGGTTTCCATAATAATCCCCTCATGGCAGAAAGTTTCACATATAAAACAATGATGTGCACTTAAAACTTCAGTCCTGAAGTTTTTCAGAAATCTTGAAAAATATTTTTGTGGCCCCCATATATATTCACCCCTATGGAAAGATTCTGGAGGTTCCCCTGTCCTTAGCGCCTGCCTCTAAGATCTGTTACAAACAAACTGCATATTATATAATCGGCTCTCAAACCTGGTCAGCAATTCATTTTGATTTGATCAAAAATAATTTCAAACAACTTCAATAGCAATTAAATTAAATGGTACTAGTCCTACAGAGTAAGCTGGTGAGTAACATATTTCCAAGAAGTACAGTAACCTAAGCAGAAAGTTAGCGGCCATCTGAATCTGAATCTGCTTAGATACCATATTTCTAAGCTTTTCAGGGCCGAGTACAATAACCTCAGTTTGATCTGAATTAAGAAGCAGAAAGTTAGCGGCCATCCAGATCTTTATGTCTTTTAGACATTCCTGCAGTTTTTCTAATTGGTGTGTGTTATCTGGCTTCATAGAGCTGGGTGTCATCTGCATAGCTGTGAAAATGTATACTATGTCTTCTGATGAAACTGTCTAAGGGAAGCATGTGTTAATAGAATTGGTCCTGGCACTGAACCCTGTGAAACTTTGCATGAACAAATGAGTGACTATTAGATAGATTTGATTCAAATATGATTAATAAATGGTAGGACGTCCTTGAGCACTCTTGCAGAAATTGGGTCTAAAGACACATTGATGGTTTTGAGGAAGTAATTACTGAAGTTAACTCAGAAAGATATATTGGAGGAAAAGAGTCTAAATAAATATCTCCCCCTGACTCTAGTTCTTCTGATCTGGAGGAGATTAGTGCCTTGTTCAGCTCCTTCTTCCAAACCATCTTGGAGTGTGGCAGAGCAGAATGGAGGTGGAAAAAGGACAGGATCACTTCAAATCTTATCAAATTGCTGGCATTTTTATTAGAATACTGTTAAAGAGAACACCTATCAAACATTATTGCATGCAACTGTCATAACCCATGCCTGGTGTTCAAAACTATATACTCTGTTTCTAATGCCTCACAGTTTGTCTGTTTCAAAACCTCCCCTCATATGTGTAATGCAGTTTCGATTGATGAGGTTGCCACCACAAAGGCTCCCAGCTGATCTTGTGTTTTTCATCCATCTGCCTCAGCCAGATGTTCAACTGTTTTGAACCAGTTTAAGCAAGTGACTCTGGGATTCATACAGGAAGTGGTTCATCAAATTAAGCCCTCAGGTTTCCCTCAAGATGCTGCTGCTCCTTGATTTTAATAAACAGGTTTTTCCTAGTATAGGTCAGTTACTGTTGGCCATCATGAATACCAGTTTGTCTTTTGGTGTGGTTCCTGCAAACTTTAAACATTCATCAGTGCAACCTTTATTTAAGAAACCTGATATTGATCAAATTATGTTAGCTAATTTTATGCCTATCACTAAGCTGCCTGTCCTTTCAAAAATTTTAGAAACAATTGTTTGTACTCATTTGAAGTCTTATTTGGAAAAGCATGATAGCCTGGACGTTTTGCAATTCAGATAGTTTTGTTTTATTGTCTTCTCAGACCAGCAGGTGGAGATAAAAGTGGAGGAAGGCTCAGAGTCTGTCATCCTGCCCTGCCAAACAAGACCTGACATACCTGGTGACACCTCAGTGGAGTGGACTCGCTCTGATCGAGAACTCATGATGGTCCATGTGTATCCAAACAGAAGTGAGAAGCTTAAGACACAGGACGACCTTTACTGTGGTCGCACAAAGATGAATGAAGACCTGCTGAGAACTGGAGACCTCAGTCTGACCCTGAAATACCCCACAGAGAGAGACACAGGAGGATACAGATGCACCATCTACAGGGACAAAGACATCCTGAGACAGAAAGTAGTGCTGCAGGTCAAAGGTCAGTGATGCATAAATAAGTCAAAGGCCTTAGGTGTAGATGCAGGTCAGAGATCAAAGGTTATGTTGTTATTTTTTTTCATTATGTTTCTCAACAGAACCATTTCCATCTTGGGCCATAGCTTCCATGGTTCTCTTGGTTCTCCTGGTTCTTCTTGTTTCTGGAGGTCTTTTATTTCATTTCCGACAGTATTTCATGTCAGGTGAGTGTCTCCTACTACACTACCCATAATGCCGTTAGTTAGCAGGTGTCCTCTGGTGGCTCCTTGACTGTGGCTCACACAAACTTGTTCCAGAAGCTGAAAGAGTTGAGAGTTACATGAGACACTTGAGATCTTCATGGTTTCTGTGCTGATGTGTGTGAGACATGGCCGACTGTGGAGGCTCAGTCTGACTGTTCTTCTGCTCTTCATCCAACATGTCTGCAGCACTTTACAGGACGCTGCAGACTAGTTACCAAAGAACGAGTCAGGAACATATCAGGAACAAACTGAGACACAATCTGACTGAGACTAGAAGACAAGGAGGGGACAGGGAGGTCATGTGACCATCACAGCTGCTGCTGATGTCATCATGTTGTGCTTTGTTGTCCTCTCAGTCCCCCAGGTGGTGGAAGTGGTTTCAGGGCAGGAGTCTGTCCAGCTGCCCTGCAAAGCCAAAGTTCACCTGCTTGAAGACACTAAAGTAGAGTGGATAGACAGTGATAATGACAAGGTCCATGTGTATCAGAACGGCACTGACCACCCCAATGAGCAGGACCAGGTTTACAGAGACCGAACGAAGATGAAAGAAGGTCTGCTGAAAACTGGAGACTTCAGCCTGACCCTGAAATACCCCACGGAGAGAGACACAAAGACATACACCTGCACTGTCTACAGCACTAAGGGAAATGTTCTGATGAAAAAACAAGTGGTGCTCCAGGTCAAAGGTCAGTACAGCCTCAATAATAGAAATATGGTAAGTCCATTTATGGACCCTACAAGTCGAATCTACATGAACTGCTGGGGTTTTTGAGGGCAAAAGTATTCATATACTGTGCTTTGCATACAGTATATCTCAAGGTACCCCTAGTTTCTTTATATTTTGTTGCCAATGAGCCAAACTTTCTTCTAATTTTATAATTTCTGGCTGCTTTTTCACCCATTTTCATTCACACAAATACAAATTGAATATTTAAATAGAACTTTGCATTTAAAAGATCAATTTTAGTACCACAAATTAACAGGACAGGTTCAAGACTGGTCTTTGTACATTATAAACTACAAAACAGAATTAAACACAGTGTTTGAGTTTCTGCCACGGGTGCAATTGCAGTACTACAATTGCTTACAAGAATAGGCGCATTCATGTTCTCTACTTGCGCTTTTTTTGTGTTTTAAATGATGAACACAAATGCATCAGGGACTTCAGTTCAAACCTGGTCCACAGATAGCAGTCTATTCACTGTTTTTGTCAGTCATCATTCTTTTAGTTTAATTCAATTCAGTTTTTTTTATACAGCATCAAATCACAACAACGGTCACCTCAAGGTGATTTACATATTAAGGTAAAGACTAACGATTAAATACCGACTGGTCCATAGACACATAGTGAGTGAAAAAAGGTCAGTTAAGAAGAAAAACTCAATGCATCATGGGAATCCCCCGGCAGCCTACGTCTATTGCAGCATAACTAAGGGAGGATTCAGGGTCACCTGGTCCAGCCCTAACTATATGCTTTAG